ATATTGGGGTTATTAACCACAACAGAGAGATGCAACGCGCACATGTTAGAGACCCATTTCAAAGTACATTCAAGCAAACCGTTCCAGAGCAGCATTAGTATCCTTCCTTTGAGCAGCAGGTTGACAGCTGCATCTTCAACAAGAACACCCACCACAGTATAAACGAACACAAACTAAGGCTGTGCAAGAGTACCGGAAAGATGCATACGCATAGGCAGTATTAGTTGATTGTATAGTACCAATGGGTGTTACTCCAAAGCTAATCCTCTTTCTTATCTAATGTGCAATTAATTACAGATGTATAAATACACAATGCATTACATAAAATTAAATCCCTGTAAATTAGATAACAAGCAGCAAAAAGTAAAGTCTTTGCTTTGAAATACCTTGCTAATCAGTAATAAGGACTATTAGACACTGACCAAAAAAAAACCCCTTTCTCAGTGGTCTGGAAATATTCCCTTCCCTTCTGCATCCCAGAATATAGGAATCTTCTTTAAAAAGGTACTTAAAGTGCATTTCTAAAATACAGTATAGGAGGTTTAGTTTAGTTTTAAAATATCCAGGAAGCTCTGACACAGACACGGTTTTCAATGGAGAAAAAAAAAAGATAATTTTCTCCTTCCTTGTAGTGAGGAACATAAAAACCCCAAACTACAGCAGTTTCACACTCATTCTTCTCCAAGAAATGCCTATCAAGTTTACTGCCAGTGCTTATGCTCAATGGGCTGGCAGGCCCATAGCATACTGCCTCCTCTGCAGTGGCTGAGTCCCAAGAGCTGTCTGACTCCAGGACTTCACATACACGCAGTAGATAACCAAGAGCGGTGTTTTAAATGTCGAGAGAAGGCAGCTTAGCACATTATTTCCCTTCTTGCTCTGTTTCTAAAAAGAAATTTGTAACATGCTGAGCTAGATCAAAAAAGCTTTGAAGTGGATGGAAATCCGCATTTTTTTGCTTTGTTATCCTTTTAAAGAAAACTAGAATTTACTTCAGTCCAGTTTTAAGTAGGGAAACTGATGCCTCAAACTGGACTTCAATAACTGGTGAAAAACTGTTAACTGTATGCCTTTATGTCAGACCTGAAAATAGTAATGCCCATTTGAACTCCACACAAGAATCTATTTTGTTACAGATTATGCAGCTTTAAGAGATACTGATGCTTAAAAATAGAATTTTTCTCTTCTGATGATCTGTTATCCACATAGACATCAAGTCATCAGAAGCTGCTCGGAGTCTTTAGATAGAAGAGTAACATTTATGCAACACAGCCGTAACATTTCCAGCTCTGTGTAAAGTAAGCACCTGTCTCTTCCTGCTTTTAAAGGAAGATCCCTTAATCGTGCCTATATCTCCTTAGTTCATTTTCTGGCTTATCCAAAGCAAAGACTTAGCAAACTAGTTTTCTTCTAGTTAAAAAACAGAAAAAGAAAAATTAAAATGCTCTCAGTGTGTCACAAAATGCCACCACCTAAATTGCTACCCCTCCTCAAACTGGTTCCACTTTCATTATAAACAGTGGTGATGGCAGCAACAACTTAGTGCTTAAAATTAACGTAATTCTTGAGATCGGCTTAGCTCCAGCTTGGGGAGCCCTCTTGCAGCACTAGCAGTCTTACTTATCCACACACTGGAAGTGCATTATCATCCATTGCATAACAAAGGAATATCATCACTGTATTAAGAGTCATACACAATTAAACAAGACAAAACCAGAAGGAAAAAAAAAAAAAAGCAACCCACAAACAAACAAGACATCCCTATTATGCTCCTGGGTCCCCAGGATGCTCCCTCACTCTGGCTTCCAGTTCTGAAATAAATCTGAGGACCATAGGAGATAGCATGAGCACATGATTTAGCTTAAGTACTATCTCAAAATATATAAAGATATGTCCTAGCAAGTGTCAGACCCTGTCTCCCTGCTCCTTTGCCAACCATGCTTTTAGGAGGTCTCATTATGCATTGCACTTTACTGAAGAATAAAAACCCCATAAAGCTAAAAAATTGCTCAACTGATGCCAGTCCCACGTACACTTTTGGCCATAGAATTTCCAGTGCATGGCATGACCTGCTGATGAGTGAGCTGAATCAAAATGACCTTCTTGAGCTGGAGTGCGCCTAGATGTGCCTACTGTAATAGTGGAATGAAACCCTTTTAACTCTCCCTTAAGAGGTCAGAACCTCAGGATGAAATTCCTGTACATTCCCCAGGATCACAGCTAGCCCTATCAGTGCCCAAGGTAAGTCAAGAAAGTACAGCACAGCAGTCTGAAACATAATAAAAGAAAACAAACTTCCCCCCCCACCCCGCACCAACCTCCCTGAAAACCTAATTAAGAAAGATGAGTTCACTTCTCAGAAAGGAAATTCACTCTGCTTTCTTTTCTTGGGGCAAGGACCAAAACATTGGCCACAAGGAGAACTTACACTGTAGGTCAAAAACTAACACCACCCAGCTGATCTCCAAGAAGCCCATTATTACATTCCACTGACCAGGGCCAGAGTCCAGTTGATCCATCCACCTGAAAGGATTAATTCTGAAGTTAAAACTAAGTAGGGAGTTTTAGCTGATGAAAATTGTATCGGGAAAATTAGGAGACATTCAACAATTACTTCAAAAAGAACTGAAAGTGTCCTGCTGTTCCCTGGAGAATACTGCAGGTGCTAGGTCTAGAAAGTATTTTGTATACAGAGGATGCTTTCCCCATGAACAGATGGAATGTCATCTGAGTATTATGGATAAGGGATGCATGCATAAAGCAGGCCTTTCAGAATGACGCCGTAGAGCAGTCTATCCTAACATACCAAGGACAACCATAAATCTCTTCCAAGAAAGGTAAGAACGGTTGCTGCAGGAACTCAGAAGTCAGGACTAAAAGCAGAAAGAGGAGATCTTGCCCTCCTGTGGTGATCTCCTGGAAGCACTCTAGGGAACAACCAGACTGTTCCATTTCCGCTTAACACTCTCCATCTGTCAAATAACGAGGCTGAGCATCTAAAACTTTAGGGATTATATCTAATATTTCAGCGATGTGGTTTATTTTTCCTCACATCAGCACAAGTTTGGTCTCCTCAGCTCAGTTCAGAGGCAAAGGAGTGAGTGTTAATGCTTTGGGAAATAGTTAAAGCCAAGCACTGTTCACCTGCAACCCCACAGCAGGAGTTTAAAGGCAGATTATTCTAGCCAGGCCCTATTGGTTTGTTCCCTATCTTTTGCCAGCTCATGCCTTAGCCTGTTGGACCCTGGAAACTCAAAAACTTGCACCAAGTCCAAAATCCAGTCTGCCCAGATAGATTTGTCCAATATCAGCTTTCAACAGAGTTTAAATTAGCGGCTGGATCCAGAAAGCCTGAGGAGCCATAGCAGTTCCTGGCTAGGTAATGTCTACATAGAAGAATTTATCTTTCCCTGGCATTAGAACTTTGCCCTGAGGGAACCAATGACTACTGCCAAGTCACAAATTGAATGAAAAACCTGCAGCAGTCTAGACAGACAACAATGGACAGTGGGACAGACACCAAAAGGTCAGTTGGAATGGGAAAACAATTGTTATAAGAAAAAATAAATAACTTTTTTTTTCTTTTTAGAGTCGTGCATTATCACTCAATTTTTTTTTGATTTTTTTTTTTTTTCTTTCTTTTTGTTTGGCCACATGCTACTAGTACGATTCTCGGTACAAGTGAAAAGAAACAGGGTAGGATTAGAATACCTAGAAAATGTGCTGAAGGAGTTGGGAAGGTAAGGGATGTTAAGCCACAGGATTACATACAAGAGAAACTGTCAAGAATCACAAAGAGAAAATGAGAGGTAACACTTTATCTATCAGAAGGTGAGTTAGAACAGATGAGAACATTACATGGACTCAGTACTTCAGCTGGCCCGTGCGTCTTCGAGCCAGTTTTGACCTGCACAAGAAAGAAGTAAAAAAGTATTTGTTGAATTCTGGAAGTTTATTTTTTTCCCCTCCCCACAGTTTGTCCACCTTTTTTTTTTTTTTTTCCACCTTTTGTATAGTCCTAGTTTACTCCATATATTTAGAAAGTAGAATGTATCAAGAGCTATAATGAGAAAAACTCCTCACTCTTCTGCTGTGCTCCTTTAAAGGAAGACAGGATCTTTTGAGGACTGCACTGTTAAGAAATTATTTGATGCTGTACAGTAATAACTTAGTTTTCAATTAATTTTTTTTACTGAAGGAAGAACTACCGTAGCATAGTACAATCTCTCCAGCAAGCAGGGGATGTCTGTGACCTGTGTTAAAGGGAAGGCTTGTAGAGAAGTTCAAAAAAGGGAAGGAAATGAGAATTTCTGCTTTAGCTCACAATCAAGAGAATGAAAATGCAGTCCAGACCTGCCTGCACAGAGGCGGTAAGAAGCTTTATAAATTTGTAAAATAGCAACACAAGGAAACCATTTTGTGGCCTCCAAATGTAGAATTGTATGAAGCATACCACACATGTTCAAACTGGATGCATCTGTTAAGAATTTCACAAGCCAAAGCAACAGCCACTGCATTTCCTGAAATATAGGGCTTGTTTGATTTTTTTTTTGGTTGTTGTTGCTCACTCTCCTCCCTCCTTCAGTTCACCCATCTTGTCAAATTCTTCAGAACAAGATTAAATCTGTGACAAACCATCTGCCTCCTTGCTTATGACTATCTCTCTATTTTTATGCTTTGCAGCACTGTCTGCCTGTGAACTGCCTCTTACCGTATGGTGCCAGCAAGAAGTGGATTGAAGGCATATAACCAGTCATTCATGTCTTTGTCGTTGATGGCCTGGAGCAGGACTCCACGATGCTTTGTGCACACGCCAAATGTGTTGGGTGTCTGGAATATTAAGGACAATTTAAAATACTGAACTCTACAGGCACAGAAGCTGATACACACTTCCTCTCTGAGAAAGTTTGCCACATCACATTCCTAAAAACCACAAGACCTCAGGTCTTTCATTTAAGTTTCACTGGTCATTTCCACAATATTATTAGTCAGTCAAATGGGACATCTTCTACAAAATCTAGTTTTAACTCATGAGCATGGACTTCAAGAGCTGCTATATGATGGACCAGTAAAGTTAATTTGTTTCCTTGCAGGATGTTTGTGTGTGTTGTTTTGTTGTTTAAAAAAACCAACGAAACAAACAAAAAAACCCACCAAACAAAAAAAAAAAAAACCGAAACAAAACCCACCCCCAAAACACCACACAAAGGAAACTACAAAAACCAAACACACACGATCATGGTACCAACATATGCTCATAAAAGCAAGTATGATGGGTAACAGCAGTCAGCTTCAGACAACTGTGTACAACTGTGTCCAAAACATAAGAAAACCTGAACAAATTGGGGACTTTGTGGGCAGAATCATCAGATGCCAGACATTTCTCAAAGACACAGACGCATTTTCCTCAGACCAGAGGTGACACAGAGGATGATATGGATGCACTACTACCTGTAATGTTCCTGCTCTATGGGTAAATAAACAATAGCTGTCAGACTGACCTTTACCATTGCCTGTTGATCCTCGCTGTATTCCACCTGAGCTGTGGATAAGTTTATGATTCCTCTTTCTACAGGATCTTTGTCACTATTGTAAATAAAAACGTAGGGACGGCGAACCACCACAAAGTGCTTGGCCCAGGAACTGGAGAGTGGCTCCTTGAAGTGGAGGTATCCTTTCTTTGAGACCACAGAGCTGAAAAAAAAAAAACCAAACCAAAACAAACGCATAGATAAACAGGAATACATTTTCCCCTAAATAAGGCCCCTACTGAGTATCCCTATTAACTGCAAAACACTGTAAAAGACACTTGGTCCTTAATACGTTTTGTCTGCAACAGTATTATGAAAAAATTCTATAGTAAGCTGAATTTTCTCTTCAAGAACTATGCAAAAGTCTGACAGAAAGAAGGACCCACAAAGATCTCTACTTCAGTGAACTTCAGCTATGGTTTTGATGATAACAGACATTATATTTAAGTCACTGGAAATCCTGTTCATTAAGTAGATGCAGGGAATGAATGCTGCAGAGATCAGGTATCAGCACAGTTCTCAGCAATCCTGCCTCCATCATACAGAACTCTGCAGTTCTGCTATCACCTGTTTAATTTACCTTTGTCAAATGGGGCAAAGAAACTACAAATCTCAGAAAGCCCCTTGTGACAGCTCTCAGGAAGCCATGATCACACTACAATAGAAAACTTACCCTGGTCTGATTTCCTCAATATCAGGAACGAGGTTTAGGAATTCATTCTTTCCAGCTCTGGCAAGATAGGAAGTTTCTACTGTAGGCATTAGCTGGAACTGTTCCACCTCATGACAGGGACTGGAGGCACGAGAATTTGCTTCTGGTGTCCTTTAAAAAAAAGTGGAGAAAGAACAGTAAATCACAACAAACCAACTGAACATGACAATGGAATTTAAAGTGCATCCACAGCTTAGCCCGTCTTACAAGTTTCATCCTCCAGTCCAGATTTTTTGTATGACATTGGGATCCTTTTGTACAATATCAAATAGGATTTCCCTTGAAATTTGTGGAATAAAACTTGTAATAACTGCTACTAAGTTGTTTCCTCACTACTTCTCCCTCATTTCTCTTGCTAAACACAGTCACAACACAGACGTATGTCTTACTATGGTTTAATGTAAACTGCACTACTTTGTCAGTACTCCTCCTCTCAGGGACATTAAACTGAGAAGGTACAACTAAGTAGTTATTCACAATTTAATCAAAAATATCTTCTATTGTCCTGGTTTCAGCTGGGACAGAGTGAATTTTCTTTCTAGTAGCTGGTATAGTGCCGTTTTTGGGATTTAGCATAGAAGAATGTTGATAACTCACTGATGGTTCAGTTGTTGCTAAGCAGGGCTTACACCAGACAAGGACTTTTCAGCTTCCCACACTCTGCCAGGGGCACAAGGAGCTGGGAGTGGGCATGGCCAGGATAGCTGACCCCAACTGGGCAAAGGGATAGCCCAGACCATATGACATCATGCTCAGTGTATAAACTGGGGGGGCTAGCCAGGGTAGAGCGATTGCTGCTCGGGGACAGGCTGGGCACTGGTCAGCAGGTGGTGAGCAATTGCATTGTGCATCACTTGTTTTGCATATCATTGTTATTATTGTTATTATTATTTTCCTCTGCTGTTTTATTAAACTGTCTTTATCTCAACCCTCAGGTTTTAGGTTTTTTCCCCAATTCTCTCAGGAGTGAGCAAACAGCTGTGTGGTGCTTAGCTGCCTGCCAAGTTAAACCACGACATCTGTAAATACAGCCAAGAAAGATAAACAGGGATTACCAGCCAAACTGGCTTATTCTGGGTTGCTATTAGTAGGTCTTTTTAACAGACCTCTGAAAAAAAAAAACTTGTAGACTCTACATACTGAAGATGCACTGGTAACTGGAACAACAAGTATCTGACTGTTCTTTCAGCACACACACACACACACACACACACAAAACCTCAAACCACACAACCAACCACCCAAACGCTTCAAAAGAACAAAATAAGCAAAAATAATTGTGACGAGTGATATGGGAAGATAAGGCAAGGGGTCCGATACACAGAAATATCTAGAGGAAAAGGAAGAAGGCAGGGGGGAAATAAATTGGAAAACATAGCAAAGACAGACTTGTGAAGCACTGAGAAATAATGTTTTTCTATTAAAACCTTGTACTTACTTCTGATCAATTGAATTGCATCTTGAATCCACCAGAGACGGGCAGGTAGATGAAGGTGTGAGGGTAGCACTGCTGAAACTCGACACTGATGGGTCCCGCCCAATTGGAGAAATATCCGACAACTACAAGGACAAATATAGGCAAAAATATTACAGAGGAGATTTTTTGTAGCTGATGTTCAGTCCTGGCTAGAACATGGCATTCAGCACACAGAAGGCTCAGATAATACAAAGGTATTTCTATCAGCCATTTCCCTACTCGATAGCCAAATTTTTGCACAAAACCACCATAAACCCATCTGTGGGTGAAAATACAATGGCACTTCTGTAGGCATAGCTTGTTATTAATGTCTTACACTTCTGATTATTCACACCCTGACTTCCTCAACATAACATTAGACAATCCAGTTTGCAACTTGGTGTGCCTTGTGCCTATAGTCAGATTTTTAAAAGAGCCAATTTATCCTTTTACATAGGGAAAGTCTATATAGGGAATAATAAGAGCACTTCCAGTCTGCAAATAAACTAGAAACTATACTATTGTCCAAGTTCACACCATTTTTAATTCCTGCAATAATCTTTGGAACCTGATGCTGAATAGCCAAATGCTTCCAACAGACTGAAAAGAAAGAAAATTAATATGAAGTGTTTTGTCTCTTCATAGTATCAACAGATTCTACAAGCTACAAATACATTGCTATTGTACTACAAATATAGCGTGTTGTATTGCATTAAATATTTACCTTACAATCACTGATGCTGTTGTACACCTGGCTAAATTCCCGGTTGAAAGTGTGAGTAAGAAGCTGCAGACACTAAGGTGGGGGGGGGAAAAAAACAAACCACACACAGAAAATAATTTTACATTTAGATTTTCAGAGAAATTTGAACACAAGAGGCAATTTGCCAAGACACACTTAGCAGCTCATGAAAGAATAAACAAATTCTAAACTGCTGTGAAAAATCCCAGAAGAGGGGAATAATCCCTTCCCTTGATAAAACACAAAAGTTTCATTCACAGAACTACTAAGGAAGGGGAGTGAGGTACAGCCATAGCACAAACCCAGTCACCAGCACCGGCTGGCGAGGATGGATGTTTTCACTATAGAGCGTATTAAAAAAAACTCACAATACTGGACAATCACCATGCTATCCAAGAAGCTCTTCATTAATCTTTAGCCATCTTTGGCACCTCAATCTAGACCCATGATGCTTTTCTCATGTTATACCTTGGTAGCCAGCTCTTTCTCCCGATCCACCAGGCTCTCTATATCTGCTGAGTCATAGCCACTGCTCTCGCTGGGCGTCACAGCACTCTCAAACGTTGTAGTCGAAATTTGTGAGGAAATGCTGGTGGAGGTACTGAGGGTTCCACTGCTCAGACTGGGAGACAATGAGTCACTCAGGGACTTGGGGATGCTGTCACCAAGCTTTTCACGAAGCAGAAGGAAATGTCTGGTTTTTTCCACCTAGTAAGAAAAGAAATCAGTATCATCTGCTCCAGGATGTTGCCTATCTTACAGGCACTGAATTCTTATGCATTCTTTTAAGATTCATGCCAGTAAACATTTTCCCTGCGGAGGGGAGTTTACCATGGCACTAGAAGTTCAATCTGCCTTTGTTGAATACACTGAGATTCTGATCTGAAGATTCTACTCAGCAGCCAGCCACACACTTTCCATCTTCTCTGTCAGAAACTTTATTTAAATCTTGCATTTGAGAACAAACTCCTATTTGGGAACCTGCTCAGCTCAGAAGGTCTCAATGGGTAGACTAAAGGCAAATTCAAAGGTATAGTTGTGCTTTTTCTTTCACTTCCCCTATCTCTTTACTCACCTCATGCAGCAGCTCCAGTTTCTCCAATTCCCACTGATGCTCTAGAATGAGACTGTCACCCCTGGGCCTCCAACCTGCCAGGTTCTCTTCCCCTCGCACATATGCCACAGATGTATCCAGGACTTTTCTCCTCCTCCTCTGCATTCCTGAGCAGTAAGAAACAATGTAAGACATGTTAAAAACATAGGCAGAGGGATGCCAAAGAAACACTTACCAATTAGCAATCTGCGAAGAATCAATAATTCTGCTGTTTGCTGGAAATATACATGGCAATGATTTCATTAACAGCAATCACACATCCCAAAGAGAATTGGTTTAGTCCAGCTTGCTTCATTCAGATATTTTCTATTGACCATGATATAACACAAACTCCTGTTCAGTCTAATTCAACCCAAGAACTTCAATTGCTAGGTCTCAAGAGGAAAAAACATACTGATACTATGTGAACTACATTCCTTCCAAGTTATCAAGCTTGCATCAGGTATCGGCAATATCCTCAAAAGACCAAGAAAAAACTATTGTTGCAAAACCAAGTCTCAACTGGATTAGTTATTAGCCATGTATTATGCCCCCTAAGCCTATGATCCAGGTACACGTCCAGTTTCCTGATATACCCATGTCAGAAGTTTTCAGTGAATCTTTGGTTCACCAATGGTAAACACAGACCCAAATCAAAAGTAAAACCCTGCATAAGATTTTGGTGGAATAGCAATGTTCCATTGCTCTTGTGAAACACAGGAACTGCTTCCCGTCAGGAGAGAAATGTTTACTCCATTCTGCCTATGAAGTTTTCTGCGATATTTCAGTTCACAGCATCTTTTTTGCTTGAACACCTGGTCACTGCTTACCTGGACTTCCTGTGTCTGCCATTTTGCATAAACTTAGTTCATAGATCCCGGTTACTCGATTGCTGTTCACAAGAAACCAGAGGAAAAAACAAACCCTATTATTATCAGAAATAAAGTTCATTAACTTTCGTTAAATGGTCCCCAAATTAGGAGTTTTAGTAAAGTTGTTAGAATTCTAATCTTGACATAAAATAGCCAGGATAGACTGCAAGATCTCTAAAAATGGCATTTCCCCCATGTTCCCCCCTCAACCCCCATTAGACTCAGAGAACAGCTGTTGCAGTAAATTCCAAGTCAGGGTCAGGGTCATCTGTGTGAAAGCTTGAAAAATGGATCTCACTTTCCAGCTCTTCAGTCAGAAGGCTGGAAAAGGGGTCAGTAAAGAGAGAAGCCATCAGAGTTTCACTGAAATAAATGCAAAATTGGTAACTGAACTTACGAATCTGGAGATTTGGAGTAGCCACTTCCAAACAGACTGCGCAGGGATCGCGGTGGGGAGATCTTGGCATCTCGTGAGTAAAAGACCATGCAAACATCCTTTGTTATAACAGCCGGCTGGATGCAGTGGTCAAGCTAAGAACAAAAACAGTAATGAATGAGTGGCTGTAGACAACTATGCCAAGTTACACTGCTTTCCTCTTTTAGTGGGACAACTTTTTCAAATTTGTTCTTGTTAAGGTCTTTGGTGAAGGGTTTTCATATGGGTTTCTGTGAAAGAGAACTGTTAAATTTCTTGATGCATCTTGTGGGTGAAACAATTGTACTACACAAAACAATAGTGCCTTGCACACAAAGCCAAGAGCTAGGCCAGTGTTCATAACACTAGTAGTACCTACACTGCAACGTTCACTGATTTCAATGGATTTTCAGATACAAAGATAGTTAAAATGAGGCACAGAAAGTTAAGAGATCAACAGCTCACCTTTGTTGTGAGGCAGTAATACCTTGACAGTAAGATGTTAACTGTGAATAAATTTTTCCACCGTTCTCAGAAAACGAATAAAGACTTTCACTGGCTTCAGGACTCAAAAATCACTTAGTCCAGTAAGCATTTATCTCGGATACACACTCTCTGCTGTCTCAAATAGTTATACTTGAGTCAAAAGCAAAAAGGAAGGCACAGGTCTCTAACCTCGAGGTAAGCAGAAAGGGTCATATATATCTTCTCTCCATATGGTGTCACTCGATTGAGGAGAAGGGAGTTATGCAAAGAGCTATCCCAAACTGCTTCAAACCGATAGAAAGTCCTGGAAAAAAATACAGTAAAAGCTCAATAGTATGCAGAGCTGCAGTTCCTCTGCATCCTTCTCACCAGTCAGTGTAAAGTATCTCTTCCAGTGTAAAGCACCTCATCCCCATCAAGGGATGATCCTTGACATCATCCACTATGATTGTTACTGATTTCAGTGGCTTAGATAACAAATACTTGAAGCAAAGACTTTGCCTTCTTTCCCAAGATTGATTACTTCTACCTCAAATAGTGGGGTATAAGAGACCACTGCCTGTTATAAAAAAAGACTCATCTAAAAGAGAAAAGAGGGAATGTAGAAGAGAACAAACGCTGTCATAACACTAGAGGGAAATCAGCACTAATGAACAGTGTTTCTAAACAGAACTCCTCTCTATTGCTTCAGGTGCAATTCAGCACCTTCCAAGTACATGGGAAGATTCTTTTTTTATAAGCAACACTCGTTCTACACCATATTTTAGGACTAGCATATAGTAACAGAAGAGATCCCTCTAATACTTAGTCATATAAAACCAGCAGCTTCTGATAGCAAATCAGAATGATTGATAGGTAGGGATAAGTCCTATATTCAAATGATAAAGATTTCTTTCTATGTCCCTACTGGCTTCAGGTAAAAACCTGCAGATCTAACACAAACTTCCGTCAGTTTGGTACATGGAAAGAAAGGAGCTGATGGCTCCCACAGTTCTTGCCCAGCAATCAGGCAAGTTCATCTGTTCAATTAAGAAGTGAGAGACAGCATCAGACACAGGAGAGCTAAATCATCAGGTCTAGAGTCACCATTACACTCTCTCCTCTCTACAGGGGCTTAGGGAAACGAGCTTTCTCCTTTCTCACAGGTAGAGACTGATTTCATGTAGGTTCCCTTGGAAAGAAGTACTATACTCTTATTCAGGAATACAGCATGCTTTGCAGTTTTCTACACTGGTAACAGAAAAAGAAAGTATTAATTCTTCATGACCTCCATATAATTTCCCTCCCAAATCCCCTTGCTGTTGAGGTTTTCCATCCCATTTTCAGTCGAAATGATAGAAGCAAGAAGTGCTTCATGTATATTATTTTTTTAAAACAAGTTATATCTCTAAAGAGCTTCTGTACTAATGCCCAAAGGCCAACTCAGAAAAAATAGAAAATGAAACCAAAGACAAATTATAAAATACAGGGTGGGTGTGGAAGGAAGAAATAACAAAAAACAAACCAACCCAAAAAGAAACATGAAACAGCCTAATGAGGCTAACGAGCAGACATATTGAAAACAAAGAGTTCTGATCTCAAATAAAGTTCCCAAGAAACTCCTTTTCCTGATACCAACAACACAATTTCGAGCTAATACATTGAGTTACCATAAACTGTGCAGTCAAGTAATATCATTTGAGAATATTGCTTAAATACTGTTTGCATTTGAAGTAGCATACTTAAGAAATTGCTTCTAAATGTCTTGCTTTATTAAAAATGCTACAGGGAAACATATTCTAAAGCTCAGTAATTGGTAACTTTAAAAGCACTATAATGTAATAATCCTTACTTGAGTCAGATTAGGCAAACACCACAGGTTGTCCTCTAACCCTTTACAAATCTCTGTTGAATCCCTATGTTTTATCATGTCTTAGTTATGAGAGCCGTTTTTTTAAACTTTTGGCAAGCTCCAGATCTAGTATCTGGGTGGAAGAAAAAGTAGTAAAACCTGGTTCTCCAAAGATGTGAAAGCCAGTATTTAGCCCCTGAATCAGCTCTGCACCATTTGCCAAATATGACCTCTCATCATGAAGAGAGAACACAGGTGTAAATGTCCATCAGTGCAGAACGAAATGCCCCTCTTTAGCAAAATGGTGATTTTTGGATGAACACCGAGTTGAAGTCAAACATAACTTCAAGACAGTTACTCTACTGGATTTTGTCTAGCCAGGAAGTTAAATACACACGGTCTTGCCTGTCCAAACCAGAACTTGCTAGAATAGTTACAGAGGGAGAAAAAACAGAAGTGAGCAAACTTCTTCTAGCACAGCCAACAGCTTGAGGAGGAAAATGGAGCACAGAACAAGCAAAGCATGGAAAACAGGAGATACAGGTTAGAGGCACCAACGTATAGGTAGAACTGATTTTTAAGTGGAATTCAGCATTAGCAAAAGGTGGTGAATTTAAAGCATTGAAGATTTAAAATCTTCTCTTTTTCAAAGAGGCAGAACACAGAAAGCAGAGTGCAAATTGTCCCAGATTGTACAGCCAGCGTGTTTGGCTGTGATCCAACCTGGAAGGCAAAAAAGGAATCCAGTCTGAGCAGCTACCATGTCTCGCTTCTCTGCCAACTGGTAAACTAAGAAGTAGCAAACACATGGTTAAATTTCAGATGCAAATCCAACCAAAGAACAGAGGTTGAATGCCAGTCACATGGCAGCCACTGCTTTTTGTTTAGTGCAATTCTGAGCTGGAATTTCAAGTAACCTAATCATTCAGTCCTTGACTTGGTACTTCAAACATGGCACGCATTTACAGAGTCAGAGACAGTAAGAAATTCCAAATTTAGTTCTTTGATACAGAATAAAGGAACAAAATAGCAAGGACTACAAACAGGGACTACACTCTGATGGCACATTTTGCGAATCAGAAAGACTAAACAAAGGAAGCGTTCTCTTACATGTGAAGGAAAGTTTACCTTCACAAGTTTCCCACTGAATTGTACCTGAATAAACCCCTGAGACAAAGGAGAAGGAGAAATACTATGGCTGAAAGAGCTAAGAGGCATGCTAACAGAATTCAGTAAAAGCTAAAAGGGAAGTGGCAGCAATACAACTGGGACATAAAGCATTCTATTTTCAAGAATCTTTATGTACAAAGGAAGCAAACACAAAATACCTAGGCATATCCTTATCAAGAAAGAGCCTGTAAAAACATAGAAAGAGCTTCAGTTAGTGCAGCCAAAAGCAGAACAGAAAAGCAACAGCCGAGAGGGACAGAACAAGCGGACTTTAAAAAAATAAAACAAAACCAAAACAAAACCAACCAGAAAACAAGTCTGAAGACAATGAGCAAACATAAGACGTATCCCTTACCAGGGCTTCCATCCCACTCCATCACCCTGCCATGCACTCATCCCACAACATAAGCCTTGGCATTTTGGTAAGAGATGGTCGACAGCTTCACTTCACTCACACTCATCCTTCATCCAAGCAGCCCACCTAATAGAAAACTACAGAGCTATATAGGAATTTCTTGAAATTGCTAGAGAACAGAAAGTATAGGGCTTTCCAACTGCAAATCCAATAGTATCAGACTGGAAACTAGCAACAGGCCCTTTACATTTGAGTTTTACTGATCCAAATACACAAGGAGTAAAACACCCACTTCTCAGTGGGAGGCAAAGAGCTAAAAAACCCTGTCATTATGTGCAGTTACAGACACTAGGTGGCAGGAAGACATTCAGCTGGGAGGAGCAGTGTCCTGAATCCACCTTTAATATCGCAGTGCTATTTCAAAGTCCAAGCCTCTAATGGAAAAGGAAGAAGCCATTTCAGCACCTGGAAGGATACCGCCTCCAGCATTCAGCAATTGTAGCAGAGATGGGCTCCAAACCAACCTCCTCCCATCCAGAAACACTCATTCAGAGTTAAATTTCAGAGATATTCCTGCTTTGCACCAGCTGAACAGAGCCACAGAGTGGTCAAGTGACTTGGCTGATGTCAGAGTAGGGAGAGGCTGTGCCGGCAATGCAGTATTCTGCTTCACTGCCCTTTGTTGCAGACACTGAAGCAAAACAATGTGGAGTCTGACTGATCTTTACAGCAACGCACCCTAATGAGGGGACACATGCAGCGAGACACTTCTCAGACAGGGGCCCTGCTCTTGTCCAAATTACTCTAGTTACATGGAACAGACACCCCCTTATTAGAAATGGCGTCAATTTGTGATATATCTGTATAAATCCACAAATTATGTTTAATTTACAAAGCATGGCTCTTGCTTAAATTGTCACGTTTGTTCCAGGAATAATAGAGGTATGTGTGCATCCATAAATATATCCCCTGAGATTGCCCTTATACTTCAGTGCTGTATTCTAGCAATAAACCTTGATGTCAGTTTAGAAGTTCGGGGTTAAATTCTGAGACTCTCTTAAGCTGTTCCTTTCCATCCTCCCTTTATGGTGCTTATAAATGGAAAGTAATTCAAATACATTATCGAGATATCCTCCGTGCAGACCAATGGACTTCAGCTTTAGCAAGAATTTTTCGTAATGCTCGTTCTCTATCTGTATGCCCTGTGCCCATGGAATTCTACATTTAATAATTACCAATATCCCCAACTTTCCAAACATCCTGCCAAGACCTCAGAGGTCAAAGGAATTTTAGATTCCTGCTAGAATACTCGCTTTATTTGCTTACCTATTGGAGCTGTGAGAGGACTTCAGGTATTTTGCAGAGATAATATTCAAAGACAGAATAGCGTCCACAGCAGCTTCATCTACCTCTGCTTTATTTCTTATACGTCCTGAAAAGGGGAAGGAGGGGGAACCAATTAAAACTAAACCTGAAATACAGAAGGAATTTGTTTTCTTAAATATTATTTCAGACTATGTGATTAACAAGCGGCTGTAAGTGGAAGTTGCAAAACTTAAGTTTTTTTTCTCTGGATCTTTTTCACAATCTTCCTCTCACAGCCAATACTCAAAGATGACAGAATCTGATACAAAGAAGAATTACCATCAGCACTTTTTCTTCCTTACATAGCGACACGCAAATCAATATACTCACCAACAACCAGCTCTCGCACATCTTTCCAGTGCAACTCACTGCCCTTCTCATGGATAATGGTGACTGTAATTCTACGCTGGATTCCCTGGCAGAGTTCAAAAACAAAACACTGGTGAAGTATTCACACACACACACTCTAACATAATCTATTTTGCACTTATATCACAAAAATGAAGCAAATAACATAATTTAAATTAGTCTGTAACTGTGACCAAACACCTATGTGTTTCAGGGCCCTAAAATGAATGTAAGAGGAACATTGTCATATGTAACAGAAATTACGCTTCTCCCTCTTCAGTCCACAAAGGCTGAGGTTTTGAACCTAAAATAGGCCTGAAATTGTTGCTACACTCTTAAAAGAAGATATGTATGGTCCCTGGGCTATATCAGAGTTGCCCACAAAAACAAGCAAATACTTGGGTAATGTGTGCTTCAATACTTATATTAAAGTGTATCTACCAAAAGTAGTTACTAGAAAATAGCAACTACTCATGCAAATATTCTCCTCCTTTGTCACATGTATCTGTTAAAAGTCAAAATATAATAAAACTCTAATGGCTGGGAAGAAGTTAAAATTGTAGAATAGAAAACACTACATCTGAAAAAGAAAAATCCCCCGGGTGTTGGTTTTAACAGATTCCACTCTTACAAATGAAGACAACAACCATGCAGGGAGAAGGTGCTTTGTGTGTAACTGTTTCAAAAGATGTTAGCCTATATTGTGGATTTGGCAATTGAATTACAGAGGCTAGAATTACTCTGGTTTGAACTGGAAGTAACTGATGAGGACACTAGTAAATCCAGAATTGAGTAACATTTTTTTTTTCTTTTTTTAAGGAAATTATTGGAATATGACCATTATTCCTAAACTATAAGAACTGTTCCTGTTATTTTAAGAAAGAGAAGAAATGCAAGCCACAGGTAAGCTCTATGAAAAGGAACTAAGAATTTGAGAGTAGAAAAAACATAACATAAACCTATAAACAATATTTAACTAGGATTATCTTTAGAATCTAGCTAAGGACAAATTATTATTAAGGATTATTACATTAGCGTTTGTGATTAACTACAGGCATTTAAAAATGCACTGAGACATGGTCATTGTGTATATCTGTCTTATAGCCACATGCAGGGAAAAAGAACCAATGGAAGTTGAGTCCACGTGATCCTTCTGTGTCCTTGGTAGAGATGTTAGAGCACTGAATGCACAAATCTGGTCCCAAAGGTTTCTGCTTTTTAAAAGACTTTCATTTTTCATGAGTGGATGCACTCTGATAAGCAAAGGAAACAGCAATATACTAGGGGCCAAACATATTCTCCTCACAGCCCAAAGCTAACAGACTAAGTACAGACTGAGAGATGACTGACCCTACAGCTGTCATTAGACAGCTGTGTGGGAGAAGACATGAAAGACACAAAATCCAGTCATTAGCATTCTAACCCCCCCACAGAAATTAAACTTGCTGTTCTACAGCCTTCATTAGTACCTGGTGAAGCAGGAACGTCCCCTGACAGGGCAGGCCTCCAGTGTGGTCCACAATAGCAGGAATATACCTGTGAGAGACAGTGAAATCAACAGGCAGGAAAGATACACTAGCACAGCCAACTTTACTCTGTATTCTGCTGCCGACAGCTACCTCTCCTTGTAACATCTGAACGAATAAGAGTGTTTCTACTGATTGTCAAACTGGACTCTACTAGAGCACAGCATCAGTGAAATACAGAAGTATCATACTGTACTTCCAGTACTTCTGGAAAACTCTGTGGAACTCTCTTCTCTATATAATCCCTGAAGACCTGTCAGGGGAAAACCTCTGTAGCAGAGGTGAACACAAAAGAGGGCCTGCCAGATGACTTCTGGAGCATAAAGCCTGTAGAGACCCAAAGAATCTAAACTCATGGCCTACATAGGATAAGTTTTCCCAGCTGGTGTGCTTGAGCACACAAGTGGAAGGATTACTTCAAGTGTGAAAAAATATCATTCTATCTCTTCAGTCCCTTCCAATGGGGACAGCAAATGCCAGCAGAATTTACACCCAATCACTACAAACCAGCCAGACACCAGGCTGACACAAGCCAGGCCACCACTGCCCAGCAATGATTGCTAAACATCAGCCTTGTCTGAACAGAACAAAGGGTAAAAGCTCAAACTCCCATAAACCACTGTTCTTAAAACATAAAAGATTAATATGGGACTTACTCCCCTGTTGGCTCCAATTCGCTGATCTCAAACCACACAAGGAGGTCGTATTTGCTCACACTCTGGCCCAAGCTGGGTTTGCTCATAGTATTTAGCTTTGTAGCTGGCACTTAAAGAAAGGAAAAAAAGAAAGAGGAAGAAGAAAAAAGAATGGTTTACAAAGAACAAACAAGTAAATCTTACCTTAGGGCTCACAGAAACATATCATTTCTGTCATCTTATGTATGTTATGTACTTATGCAGGCCACATCTTCGTTTCATGAAAATGATGTTGCTTACAGCAATCATTATTTCTCAAAGCGTTGTTTTTTAAATCTAAGTTATTAGATTAAAAAAAAAGTGAAATGACAAGAGCATATCCAAAAAGCCTCTAAAAATAGGCAGTCTCTTTAGATCCACAGAGTTTCCTCAAATGTGCATTAGTTACTTTATGGGTTAACAGTTTGTCATTTAAATTGCTTAGGTCTGTTCAACTGCAACATTACTCACCCATAAACTACATTTCCCCTTCCCCACACAAGAAAAAAAACCAACAATAAAACCAAGAACTTAAAACTTCAGTCTTCAGTTCTTCTGTTACAAATTGCTAGTCTCCCGTACCAGTTTAGATAGAGAATTGTGTACATAAAAAGGCTGAACAAGACTTATTCCAGAGCCATAACCCTGCCAAAGTGTGTTTCTGAGCTCCTTATGTTTTGGTATTAGTGATTACTACTGGCCAGATCCTCTTCAATTCCTTTCATACAAATGTAGGGACAAACCATGTTAAAAAAATAGCAGAGTAAGTGAAATTCTAGACATAACCTGATATTCCTTCACGCATACTTACATCACACCTTTTAGATATCATTACATTACTTCTCTTATCTGCTCACTCATTTCATTTTTGTAAATGGGAACATTTTAAAAGCTTAGTTCCTGTGTACTCTCACAGGTATTTTTGTAACTCTGCAACTGATTTTCCATTTTTTACTCCTTTCACATACTAACCTCACTGCTTTTATTAAGCCAAGTAAGTATTCTCCCTTCTCTCTCTCTCAAGCCCCATTCTTCCCTTGCTCAAGTGTTCTTTAGGTTCTCCTATGTCACACCTCTGTGTATCCTTCAGCTTCCACCATGACTTAATTTCCCATGCACTGGAAGGGCACAGTTAAGAAAAGGTTCTTATGGGTGTGTCTGTGTAGTCTCTTTTGAAAAACAAAAAGTGAATTCTGTTTCTTTTCTGGGCAAAATAGCAGCTACTTGAGAGGGACAGACTTCACAAGAACTGGTTATTTACAGCACAACTCCTCTACCATGCTGGGTAGCAAGCTTTGGTGTCATCACTTACTCTTCCCATTCATTACTCAGGGTAGTCACTCTCTCATACCCGTACTCGTATCATGTAGCTGCACATTAACTCATTACAGCTGGACTCAATGCTGTTGATAGCCAGAAGAACATCAAACACAAAAGTCACTCATGTTTACTGCTAAGCAGAAAAACTCAAAAGCACCAGAAAAGAAGAAGAAAAAAAAAAAAAAAACCCAACACAGAAAGACACATTTAACTAAATATGAAAACCAGTTCTAGAAGTTCTCATGGACTTGCACTGGCGTAATTAATAACCAACCAGCGTGTTACTTTTTTTTTTTTTGGTAATAAAACAGAATACAAATGTAAGTGAGGAACAGCACTTGTTAGTGGCAAAAAAAAAAAAAAAAAGGATGAGCAAAAAGGAAACCTATATAGAACAAAGCAGAACATTTCCTCTACAGCTAGTTGTTTTTTCATATGCAGCATCTCTCATCCCTATCTCACAAAACTATGTACAGAATACAAAAACAGAGGTCCAGGAAGGTTCAGGGAATAGATCCCATGACACAGAAAAATCAGTGATACCTAGCACACTGGAGTTTATAGACTCTCTATATGATTCTCTCTAGAATAGCCCTAAACTTAAGCACAGCATCATCCTTCCATGACTGCAACCATGGCATTTTCTAGTCCCAGGAATAGTACATGATAAAGATAAGAAAAAAGGAACTTTGAAGCACATTTTGGAACTACTTCTACATCTACCATAGATCAAGTTTGGCTACTAACCATCTCGTTTAGGAGCCCGCTCACTTTGACAACTGGGAACAGGCAGAAAGAGAAAAGGTGGCAGCTGGTCAGCTCCATCCTGGAAAGCAGCCACAGCAGAGGATGCAAGCACGTTGGCATGCTCAGATAGCGTGTTCAGCACATGCACGTTTACATAGCCAGACATAAGATACCTAATCAACTCAATTTTTCTTTCATGGTCTGCAAAGGGAATGGAACACACACAAAAAAAAGGATGGTAGAAATATGCAGGTGAGAGAAAGCTGGAGAAGGAGGAAATAAAAGGTGAAATGGAAAAAACCACAAGAGAGTTCAGCATGCATTATTACAATTAAGCAAAGAAAACCAAGGGTCATTTCGACAAGACTGACTCACTAACCAAAAATGACAGAGAGCAAAAAGGATGAAGTGTTTAATGAATAAACAAATTTCCAGACAAGTGCCCAGGAAGCACATAAAAAGCCACAGCCAGATCTCCTGGAATATGGTCAACACCTCAGGAATGAAATTCTACCCTTTAATGAACCAAGAAGCACTTCCTGCAAGAGGAGATTGAAAAGAACACATAAAAAGGAAGATAGATCTATCAAAGATAGATCCAATGCCCTTTGCAACATTCACTCCACATTATATTTCTTGGTGTCCTGAACAGAGTAGGAATACGCTACAACCCTCAATTTCAGTAGCAGACATGTGATGTACAGAACTAGAGAACTGTTCTCACCTGGCTTTGAGAGCGGCATAGGGGGAGGAAAGAATCTTCGGGAAGGCTGTGGAGGGCTATACAGAAATGAAAAGTGTTATCAATATAGAGGCAGCTAAACATAAAAAAATATACACCAATACACACACATGCATGTATGTATACACACACCCCCAGTACAGTGCTTCTACCCATTTTTGTCTTGGAAAAACATCCTCACAATCCCATGAAGATAGGTAAATATCTACCTGTCAGAAAAAAACAAGTGGACTCAGCAGTCCATTTTCTATTCTAACTTTTAAATATATATATTTATTATTTTTTTACTGACAGCTAGGATTAAATACAATTTCCAAATGCTCTACCCCCATTCTGCACTGAAAATTTGAGTAGGTGACAGACATTTCCCAAAATAACTTAAGGAAAAGGAACATGCCTCAGCTGGCATTTCCTCTTAAACCCAGCACGTGCTTCCTCTTTGCAGCTGCTGCCTTCAGTAGGAGGGCTAACCAGGCCAGGCATTCCAGACAATAGCCTCTTCCTCTAAGGTCCTTTCCCTGATTCCACAAATTCAAATGCTCAGCAGCTTTGGCACTAGTATGTCAAAAGGTTGACAGCCTTTTGTTTTCCCCCTAATCTCATCTCTCCTTTTGTCATTCTACCTTTATGCATCAGGCCACTTCTCTGAGGGAATGCTGCACCTTGGAGCGCTGTTAAGGTTTACCCAGAACTCACTGAGATCACCACAGAAGTTCCAAGTGCAATATTCTACCACCATAGTGTTTGTAGGGTGGAGGCAGCTGTATTGGCAAAACATGTTTCCATGTTTGAGATGGTAAAACAATTCCATCACTCATTAACAAAACATACAACACTATCCTGCTCGTGAGGGTGTGGCTGTATCATTTCAGGAGTATGAAAAAGTACTGCCTGAACTTCAGAGCTAAGCTGAGCATGATCAAACAGCCTTTATGTCAGAGTAGTGACCAATACCTGTTGAGATCCTGCCCTTGCAGATGGAGAGGATGCTGCTGATAATGTCCAAAGACTTCAAACACAATAGGCTTTGTTTTGATGTACTCCACAAATGATTCTGTCACTTCCACAGCAATCTATTAGGCAAATTAAGGAAAGAAAATGAGACATACAAAAAGGAAATCTTGTAAATGTGAATTTTAGGAGGCTGTATTTTTCATACAGTTAAGCACCACTCACAGTAAAAACTACTGCATTCTGTTTTGGTTTAAGCATTAATTCTACTCTGTGATAAAGGAGAAATGTAAGCCTCAATATCAGGCATTTTTAAGTAGAAGAGAAGGCTACACGTAACCAAAGGATTAGATTACGCAGTTCATAAAAATAGATATATTTAGTTCATCTCAGATCATGAGCACTGCTATTCACATGTATTTTATTTCCTGAATTCTAGACTGCTTTCATTGAACATCCTGGAGAGGAAAAAGAATTCAAAGGCAGGAAGTAGAGGTGAAACAGAAGAGTTAAATCTGCCACACAGAATCATTCTGTATTTTGTTCTCCATTGGGGATTACATCATTCACCCGATTACTCCTCCTACTGTCTATTCTTAATAATTGCCCTTGCCCCTCTTTCCCATACACCTCTCATGAGGTTAACAAGAAGGATACACACAGCTCCCAGTGCTAAAACAGGTATTTGCTATTCACCTGAAATTTTACTTACATTCTGAACATGGTAAAACCCAAGGGGAGTCCCCCGACCATTGTTTTTGAGAGGTTCTGTTGAGAAAGCTTCATCGTGCCGATGTAAAAAGCTTTAAAAAGAAAGAAAAAAAAAAAAAAACCCACACAAAAATAAAACACCCCAGAACAGTTTAGTGAAGACTGTTGTGCTATGAACCCAACACTGAAAGGAAACCCATAAATTTATTCTGCTAGAACTTTACGGCGAGTAGAGTGATGGCCTAAAGCTAGGAATACCCTAGTCTTTGGGACCACAATTCTTGCACTTGTTTTGTGTCTTTATTACTCCCATTTTTCATTCTCTTTCTTAAGAAACTAAGCCAAAGAACACTTTCACTTGAGAGCTACTGATTTAGTCAAGGGTCATATAGCTTTCATTCTAATTGTGCATATATACAGTCTAATATCAAATTTTCCACATTAAAAGCCATTATCAAGCAAAAACTTAAGATATCTATAACTAGTAACTTAAGAGTCCACTCTAATTCTTAGTTCCTTTCTGTAAAACTTTATTCCTTAACACTATGATAACACAAAGCAGGTACTGCTTGTAACAGGAATTCCAGTAACCGACAAGGTATTTTTCTCTGCTATACCATACTGCCACTGATTTGAAAAGCTCTCAGTCAGACCCTCCATTGCCCACTATTATTTGCACTCTCTATCAAACCACCAATTGCCTAATGTAAATAAGGACAAATTCTTACTTGAACTGGCAGAAAATATCTGCATATTCAGGAAGGATGCCACTGGCCTGTAGCACTGTCACACGGAAGGTAAACACGCTACCCAGTTTCAAGTGATCACCAATTTCCTCAGTAAATCCTTCCATAGTCATCTTTCCATCCAAAGTGGCTGACTTCAAGTCTTAGGGAGAAACAAACATCCCACATGAAATCACATCTTTGTTTTTCTTCCCCCCAACCTCTCCTTTTTTTTTTTTTTCCCCCTTAAAAATATTCCTTCAGGCAACAGTTAAGCCCCATCACAAATTTTTGTTTCTTTTGAGCCCAAATTATTTGCTGAGAATCAAAAGCTCCAAATACCTGGGAACAGTTTTTCTGCATAGTTCTTCAAATGAATATGCAAATATCATATGCAACCCATCAGTTGCACCTCTCCCTACCTATCACATTTTTTGAAGAACACTCAGAACCCCTTTCTCTCGCTGACTGGAAGTGTCCCAGATTTCCCTTATGTTCTCAAAACTACTACATATTTCTTGCTTACCTAGCTCATTCATTCTGTTGATCTCCTCTGGAGGAGTGGTAACCTCTGAATTCTGTCCTTGCCCTTCTACAATTCTTAATTCTTCCAATGACAGTCCAGATCGAGTCATTGCAACTGAAGAAAAATCACTCTGAAAAATTAAATGAAGTTGCATGTAACAGATTCCTGCAGCTTCTGGTTTTCCCATCCCTTTCTTCCCCCCACATTACTTATTCTTTATTTAGAAGCACAAACTCAGCACTCAAAGAAACTTAACTTAAATTAAGACGTCTTACCTTATCAAAATATTCATTGTCAAATGAAATTTTAGCTGTGCCAGACTGTCGAATACCAGATCCATAATCTGGGGCTTCATCATCAGCTAAAAAACAGGAGAAAAAAAAGAAAAAAATATTATGGGGAAGAGAGGGAAAAACCCTGAGAGTTATCCAAATGGAAATTCTGATTACAACAGAAACCAGTCCTAAAGTAGTACAGGCCTGGTTCCAGTCATCCAGTAACAGATTAGAGGAAGTGCTAGAAAAAAAATCATAGCAGAAATCAATCTATCTTGAACACAAGTGTGGGAAGACAACAAGACAAGCTATGAAGTTTTATCATTAATACACTTAACTTCGGAGAATTTTGAATGCAAACCAACTTTAGTACTCATTTTGATTATTTACTTCTGATTATTACATCTGAGGTGAACTAACATACCATAATACAATGACCCACATGAGAATGTATACTTACATAGATTTAAACTGCCATCTAAAATTCTGTAGCCATAAACTAAGCACTCACACTAACAAAGGTTCACAAATACATGCTCTAAGTTTGAAAGGCAGTTCTGTCCGTACAGTCCGTCCATTTTACCTCCTCCCCTTTGTGGACAATAACAACAATGAGGCCCGGTTAAACGCCAGATATTTTTTCCACAGTAAATGCACACTTGCAGGAGAAATGGCAAGATTCAGAACGTGTTCCAAAACTTAACTTAGGGACAAATAATACCATGGCCCTTTTTCAAGAGATGTCCCCAGTTCAATTTCTACTAGCCATGGTGTATTGTATTCATTTGGATAGATAAATAGCATATTTATTTGGAAATATTTGGTCAATGCTAAGGAGAGCAAACCAAGCTACAAGCGAGACTTTTGTACACATTAAAATAGATTTTATTTCACTTGCTGTTTTAGTCCCTGCCAGAGTGATTCTTACACATCTTCAGAGTCTGAGATTTCATTATGTGTTCCCATGGAGAGTAAAACTTCCAGGGTTACCCTATCTAAACAATAAAGAAATGTTGGCAGTTAGCCACTGCTAGAAAGGACAAATTATGGGAAGTATCTGTGCTCTCACCAGCATGGATAAGACATGGCTAACTACCAACAGTAAAACTCAACTAGCTCACCTCATACTGGAAAAGTATAAAATATTAGCAGCTGACTAGCGGACTGCAGTTAAGCTCTGGCACATGTACAATGGCAGTTCAAAACTGGATGACGCAGTTACCATCCCCATATATCTACCTTTCTCTTCTGAAAAGTAGATAGTTCTTGGTGATTAAACAGTATGTTAATGCAGCTTCTAAGTCTCAACGCATTTTAGTGAGGCAATGAAATGGAAAACTGCTGCTGATTCCTGTTTATCCCATACCGAAAAATGTCAGTTCAGGAACTTCTTCACATGTTATCCAGTCAGAGAATAGAAGAGCACATTTCCGTGCGTTATTTAAAAGGGCAGTTTGAGAAGAGCAAACACGTGGTACTTTTAACTTTTCTGCAAGTCATCACAACTATCAAACTTGCATATACCCTTGTCCACTGTTTATACTGGGTGCCAGAAACAAAACCTTTGCTTTATTTTTAGTTTTTAGACTTACTGACACTAGTCAGCCCTTCTACTGTCTTAAAAAGCAGTGTTGTATTAGTTGCCAGGTATAAACTTCAGTGGTCAACACCACCATTTTAAAAGCTTCTGATCAGTAGCATTATTTCAAGGTTATTATGCTTGGTCGTATGATTCACACCAATGAAAAAATTTCAAAAGCAAGTTAATAATAAAGAACAAGTGTTCTTTGCAACACTAAAAATATTCAGGTATGATTTGTTTGCATGTTTTTTAAAGCTGCAGCTATTCACAATGTACTAAAGAGTTGCAATGTAAAGCTCTCAGGGTATCTCACCTGCTATGGCTTGCACTGCTACTCGCAGAAATCCTCGTACTTCTCCTTTCTCACTAACAACAGCTACTCTGTGAATAAGTGGCACCGGGTACAGTAGATTGCTCAGGTATACAAATGCTCTGGTAACAGGAAGGAAAGAAAACACAAACAGCATTAGGCAATCATCTGCAAAAGCAGACTGCAGTATTTGGTTGGCTAATGGGACATTCAAATCTTCAGACAGTCTACTTTACTCCATCTATTAGACCTGCACTGTGGCCCTGTATCCATATTGTCCGCACAGGGCTCTTCAGCAGTGTCAAAGCTAAGCAAAGCCACAAAACACTCTAAACCAGGGTATATTGGAGACACAGGGCTTATATTAGTGAGTTACAAAACATATGAAGGAGACAATTTAAGATGATGGCTTTATAAAAGGCAATTTTAGATGCACTACAATTGTAAATGGAGCTGTTAGCAAGATGGTAGAAGTCTACTAAGGAACTACTGATTATAAAGAATTGTTTGAATTTTCCACCCCACGATTATAGTTTGAAGTGATAAATTAAAAGGGAATTTATCTACTATGTGTACACAGCCTTTAATATTTTACTGAACATATAAAAAACACTCTTCAAAACAGATTGACTGAATGTTTTCTTTCTTCTGCATACGTTTGATAATACCGTGTACAGAGTAATCTGAAATCCCCAATAAACCATAAGTAATCTCTCAGGTTTCTTGGAAGATTCACTGAGTGTACAGATACTGGAAGACTGGTAGTCTTCACAGCTAAATATCTTTAGGTGTAATGTATTTGTTTCTTTTAAAAAACCCAACCAACCAAACATCAAACCACCACAGCAGTACTCTAGAGCAATCATTTAGAAATTAGAGTTTACAATAAGAAAAGCAGCATTTAGGGCCAGTAACTGGACGATCCTGCTATACACGAGCTTTTAAAGTTAGATACAAGCAGGGTCTATTTTGAAACAATAAAGTTAACAGGTTTTATTGTACAGATTTTTTAAGTAAAAGTTACATTAATGTAATAAGTTATTTTACATTTCTGCAATGAATTGCAAAAGTCCTTAGAACATCACACTTCCGTGTGATTAGCTTGAGCAAAACTTTAAATGCTGAGAAGCCTAACAAGTCAGGTAAAGAATGGCTCTCAACAAGAGGAAAAAACCAGCTGTTATTGAGCTGTTTAAGAGTTCAGAAGAGTACTGAGATGCATAGAAGTTTAACCAATAGTTTTACCAGTCATTAAATTTAAAGTGACTAAAAAATTATGTATGTCATTATTATGAATTTATGCATATTAAATTATACTAAACACCATCCATTTGTTTAATTGGATTTCCTTCTTGCAGTCTTTTTTATTAGTCTTTATTGTTAGGTATAAGTAATTCCTCAAATTTATAACTGATATTGTTTAATATTCATAGGGAAAGTCCTGCATGGCAAAAGAGGACTGAGAGAGAAATAAAGGTGTTCACTGCCTCTGTCTGGAGACATCAGCCAAAAAATTTGTTATGTGAACACAGCAAGACTGATCCAAACTCAATCCCTTGTGACACTTAGCTAAGGACCAAAGTTAGAAAAGGTAAGCGTTTCTCCTTGGGTTCACATGCCCATTCCCAGAATGAATGAATTATCTTGAAATGACAAGGTAGTCAAACAGGTGTCAGCTGCGAACCAAAGAGACAAAATAACGCTACTAAAAAACTAAAAAAACAAGGTGGTGACAAAATGCAATAGAGAAGAAATGATTAATAAGGCTATAAAAGTAGCAAAACAAAAAAATGAAGAAAACCATACAACAACAAAAAAACAACTGCAATGTAACACTTGACTAAGATTAGGATATAATTCTTTTTCAGTCTGCTCCAAAGTGAGGTAAGCACTGATAAAGAAGGGGAAGAGAGAAGAGACTAAATTTAAAGTAACAAAATGGGAATTTTCTTTTTTTTTTTCCCCCTCCATGAAAACATCTTCATTTTTAGCTTTAAAATTTCAGGTGGTGCTCATTTAAGAAAGCAGCATCTCACCATACAATTAAATAGTCCCCCACGTGAACAAACTGGAATCATTCACTTGGACTGGACCAGGGATGGAGTTCAGGGAAGTATGTAGTTATATGCTCAACACAAGAAAAAGCCACACGCAGTTTGAAAACCGCATTTCAAGCTAGGGAGAACGGACATTTTTCCCCAACAGAAAGGAATCTAAATAGCCTTGCATTGATATGTATACAGTAAGAGACAGTTTCACTAATAGAGGCAGTCATTACAGAAACTATCCTACTTCAAAGCCAAGCTAGTGGAAAGGGAAAGCATTAACTGCATGAAAAATAAAAGTGTATTATTGGCATGGCTAAAGTTCTGAAATTGCTGTCCAGCATATGACAGTCAAAGCATTCAGCTTAATTAGCAACTACAATTTTGTCACCTCAGTAAAATGGCAATCCCAAAGAAAAAAATATTTCTTATCTTCCTTAACTTCCTTCCATCCAGTCACCTAGCTCACTGCAATCATTTTTACTTAGAGAAAGAAAAAGCACATAATATAAGAAGTTTTAAGCCTCCTGTTTGGTGACGGAAATGCTGGATTTCTTCTGTGGAATAGAGAGCAATAGCACATTTGCTGTACAGAGAAAAGAGCTGGTTTATGCAGCAATACTGCTTTCCAGTGCCATCCCATCTGCTTCATCACAAGACAGTACCAAGTTAGGAGTGGATGAAATCTTAAGGTTATCCTCCTCCTCGTCCCACATCTGGGAGGACTCCCACTCCCCAAACATCCCATATGCAAGTGTCCCCCTGCACCTTAGCCCAGCAGACTGAAAGAGGGGGAGCTGTATTAGCAGAAAGATTGGTGAGGTAAAATGGCATACTCACAACAAAACTAGAAATGAAATTTAACAAAGACAATTTTTTGAAGAAATCAAAACAAAAACAACAGAACTCAGAATGATGACGGGTATTTTTTAAACAAACACATCAAATCAAGATTTAAATGAAATATCCCCATAGTCCTCTCCCGCCTCCCTTAAAAAAAGCAAATGGTTGATATGTCACACCATTAAATAGAATCAGCCTTAAAGACAGCCCAGCATGCCAGAAGAGATGGCTAAAGGGACCAGCTCTTTTTCCCTTTTCTTTCATAGTTATAGTACAAATAAAAGACAGTCACAGCACAGAGAGAAGAAAAAAACATACTGTGATGCCCGAGGAGTTGGATAACTACATGATCAATTCTTCCTCCTCTCCTTCGTGACCAGGACTCAATATTGCTGATGACCCCCCTCCAAATATTAGAAATTATTTTATTTTTATCCTACATATTCTACAACATACAAACCAGTACACAATTAAGTGTTAAAGAATTTTGGTTTTGTTATAAATTGAACACTACCTTGTGCTCAAGACAATATCTACATAGATGGACATACCCTCTGATCCTTCTAAGCCACACTGTTCAAAAGTAGACTCCTCATGCTGGAAGACACGGAGGAATCAAAATAGTTTCTACTCAGTGGTGCTAAACAGTCTAACAGCTTTCCGCTGACAGATTCAGCACTGTTACAGAATAACAGAACAGGAATAGAAACAGAACAGAATAGAAACTAACAAGTGGGAAAAAGTCAATCAGCTGTCTCCTCAGAGATAATACAAACTAAGTTGCATTCCTCAATACAATTTACAACCTAAGTAGAGATATCCTTAATATGCACAGCTTACATGGTTCAGGCTAGTACCCTTAACTGCTGCAGCTTCATACGCCTGTCTATAGAGACAGAGCTCAGTATTCTTTTTAATATATGGAAACGGGAAGCAAGCTGTGTAATTGCCAGGAAGCATGACTGTTTCCATTATACACTGCATTTGCTCAGCTTGTGTTGTGCTTCCTGAAGAGTTTCTGAAATGAAGATGAATAGCTCAACTTTTTCCCAAGCACTGAAGGTCCCGCTCTGAAAGAACACGCACAACAGGAGAATACTCTGAGCATGCCAGCACTGTTAGAAGAAAGCAGCCCTATCCATTGCAAATGGCACACACATGCTCGAACTAGCTGACAGCCACTTCCAAGCCAGTTAAGATGGCTTTCCCAAACTGCCTCTCGTGGATCAGATTAACCTGAAAGAATTAAATTTTATAAAACACATCATCACACATTGCACATAAGGGCACAAATTCACAGAGATCAGAGGACTAATGCAATTTCTTGCACCTTTAGTAACTGTAATTTTTGTTTCAAGGAAGTTCCAAGTAGGTCCACTACAGACAAAGAATGAGGTTAGACAATACAGCTAAACTGACGTAAAAGCTTGATAAAAGACTGACAAACTCAGTCCCTCATTTTCACAAATAATGCAATCAAGTTTTCTGCATTTGAAGAAACTGCAAAAAGATCCTGCCTCCCTGACCCTGAGGTCTTCTCTGCTTACAGTCACAGAAAAGGATAAAGCCAAGCTCTGGTCCCTTCTCCTTTGCTCCTCCTGTCCGCCAGCCATGGAGTCTTACCCCCTCTTTTGTACAATGCCTGTGGTAACCACCTCCCTTACTGTTTTAACAAGGAAACTGGCTTACAGAGTGATCAAATAAGCAAAAATCATAACTGGGGAAGTGGGAGCAGAAGAAAGGGGAGCAAAGCCACTAGATAAAACCTTTCCATTTCTTGTCATGAGTAACATGTTTAAGCAAGACTATCTGTGAAGAAACAGTGCAAAGTACTACTTTTCTAATGCAACTTGCTGTCCTCAGGGTCTCTACCACACAGACTGAGGTCTGATAATGCCTTAATCATATCTAGATTGGAAAAATAGATAATACTCTAAAATATATTAAGCAAACTTGCGTCAGAAAAAATCAAGCATAGTGCATGGGAAAAGTGCTGACAAACACCACCAGTCAGTGAATTTTAATGATGATGACGACCTTTCACTACAGAATACTTGCTATGAAGTGTCATGCATAATCTTAGAATCCAAATAATCTCAAAGAATACTCTTCTTCATCCAGAAAGGACCATTCTTCTTTCTCCTCATGCCATCTTTTCAGACACAGAGGATGTTAGATGAGTTTTCAAAAAATGGATTTATTGGATTGGACTTAAAGACTTTCCACCATATTCTGAAAGTCTCTTCTACAGGAGGAAATTACATACTATACCATCTTAGTGACCTTGCAATGGCTAAATAGAACATTCTATAAATAATGTTTAAATACTGTACACAAGCAAAACCACATTCATTCTGTGTTGACAGTTATCGAGATAAAGATATACTCACACTGTCACATTTAAGGGTTATTTTCTCAATTATTATTTAGGTCTTCACGGTCTCTGACAAGGGAATTTAAAACTTAATGTTAAACTACACTCACTCACTGGCAATTCCAATTTATGCACATATAGAAATTTGGGTTGGCTTGACAGATATTCTGTGCAGCACAAGGCAAAGCCATTGCAGTCTACAGCAAGAGCTGGTCCCTTTTGGCCATTCTCACAGTAACCTCACCAACCTTCCCACTAAAATGAACCAAGGGGATCGGTCGTAAAACGGGTCGCGCCCATCATTGAAGAGGTCTGATCCCTCCTCAGTTCCAACGTCGGAGCCAGTATCATCCACAAAGGCCTCATCATCAAAGTCCTCCATCTCATCCTGCTGTTCATCAGCCAGTTCAGTGATGTCGGAGTCAGCCGTGGAGAAAGTGGGGGAGGGCGTGCGATCAGCAAGACGCTCATTCACGCAGCCATGGAATATGGGGGAGCTAGATATCAGTTAATGGAATACCAATTAACAGAGTGAGGGGAAAGAAGAATGCTTCATTTAACAGCCGTCTGTTGCCATCAGCACAGAGACCACCTGAACAACAAGCAAAGGCTTCAAACCATCTGGACTGCAAAGAAACGTAAGGGAAGGGATTGCTAACAAAGTCAGGAAAAAGAGCATCCTTGAACTGAGCAGAAAGTAAATGAAAAATGAATATAAACATGGCTGAACATACAGATATTGAGAGCACATCAATTTAACAGAGCTACAATTCTTATCTTCAACAGGTAGCATTTTTGTAAATAAAAATACTGTAAAGGTGCAGCTGACATCAGGAAATATTAAAGAATCCCATCAGATATTAGGTATTTCCAAAGCATATGAACAAACTATTTGAACCACATATGTAAGTAAGGCCCTGGGCCACTTTTCCCCTCAGTTTCCAGTGTTCTTCATATCCTTACAGCTCTGCTCCAGTGACTTTAGATAAAACTCAGCTAGCTACCCTTTTTCAAAATAAACTTCTAACTTACTAAGGGTTCAGTCAAATCAGATTCTACAAGGTTACACCAGAACTGGCAACATTCTAAAGCGCATTTTCTGCTCTTCACTTTATTTTAAGTCTATCAGATATCCCTGGAAGAGAACACACACAACACTAGTAGCCATACAGTTCATAACCACATTCAAAGTCAAAGTTCATCCAGAACTGACAAGCGTTACCAGCAGTTGAGATTATCATCACATACCTTCCAACCAGCTTGAACCAATGAAATCGATCATAAAAGGGGTCACTGCCTGTCATTGTGCTTTCACTCTCATCCTGAGTGTTAGATGCCATTTCCCCAGCCCTGTCATACATCTCGCGCATCAGGTCCAACCTTTGCCTGCATAGGAGAAAGCAGGATTAAAAGATCAATAGTGAGTAAAAAAAGCAGGAACACAAAGTGGTCAGTACACTGACTTCACCTATACCAAATTACACATAGGAAAGGGAGAATAAAGAACAGAGGAGTCTGTACCACTAAGTTTAGTACTGTACTAATTCTCTGACATGTTAAGGATTCTGGGAAAAATTTTGTAGGCTAAGTCCACAAACCACAAGGCAAGGTTGCTGCAGAAGCTTACATAAATCTCAGATTTCATTCAAACGTCTAAATATTATTCTTTCACACCTAATCTTGGCATATTTTTTGCTTCCCTTTCGCATCAGAAAATGTTGCTGAGCAATTTAAGCAGCTTTCTGCATTCAACTCCAGAAATGTTGGTATTTGATTCAAAAGCAAACCGATTCTCTTACAGACTTATATATATTTGTTTTAATGAGCAAAACAAGTGCTTCACACTGCAAGATCCTTTGTCTGAAAGTTATTAGTGGGGAAAAAAAGTTCTTCGGTCAGTGTTTAGAGTAGGGAAAAATCTCTTCTGCCTATTTGCAAGAATATTATGAAAATAATTCAAATTACAGTCAGAATCTGCATAGCTTCCAAAGAAATAGAATCTTCTTTATTTAAACTTTTTATTAGAAATTATGCTCTATACTACTAGGTTACATAAAAGCAGGTAGCAAGGAAACCTCTGCAGTGAAAGGAACGTGAAAAAAATTAATGTAGAGAGATGAGCCGTGATAAGCCTTATTACATTTAAACAAAATCTAACCTCAAGTTACAAAAATTAAATGCGGAGGCAAGCTAAGATGCTGGAGAACAAATGCACTTCTTTAAAGAATCTAGAAAGCTGGTATTTAAAATGTACCACACTGTCTGGAAATTTGGCATTTGGGACGACAGAGAAAAACAAGTACAACAGAGAATAAACAGTGAGGGATGAAATTTTTCAGTTAAGCTCCCTGGACATAAGTTTTTTCTCCAGTAATATTTACATACTTGAGTTTTTCTAAGGACCAGTAATGTGTTGCTCCATTCTTCAGATCCTGGACTTCCACAGCTACCACTGTACGGGGGAAAGGCCTATTGTCCCGGGTCTTCTCCAACTCAGTGGGCAAAAGCTCTGGTGGTAGTGGTGAGTAGAGGGTGTCTGTCAGCAGGACAAACTGAAACTGCACCTGAATGGAAAAAGTTCTGAGAAGTCAGATATCAGCATCACAAAGGGGATAGATATCTAACCTAAGACAACTTATGAAGCCAGTTTGACTTTTGTCTCTGCAAACATTCAGGGTTTTTTATGGGTTGGTTTTTTTTGTCTCAAAATGGCATAAAATATATTTTTCAACTGAGCACACATATCTTGCCTTTATCATTGCAGCTAGCAGAGGTCTGCAAAAATATAGACCCAGCACATCCTGCAGCACCCACTTCTCTTGGGAAGATGAATAACCACATAAAGTTAAAAGCAAAAGAGGAACGACAGGGCCCTGGGGAGATGTGCATGTACATGTGTTTATAATATTGAAAGGAACAGCATAAGGGAAATAAAGAAGAGGAGAATATATCAACCAGAACCAGATTTGCATAGGATGTATGCAAATTCAGCCAGAAGTCTGAATCAGAAACTCACGATTTTCTGAACCCTTTTAAAGCCCAAACTAATAAGCAAGAGACATACAACTTTAAAGACTGCAAGTAACTCTGACCACTTGAAGCAGGATTATACAGTCAAAACTGATGAGTCAGAAAAAGCCCAAAAGATGCTCTGCATGTCCCTACCTTCTTCTTTAGCTCTACACTGATTGCATTGGCTTCTTTCAGGTATACTGCATTTCCCCAGAGTTGGTCCCTCAGTGAAGTAAACTGGTGAAATTTCCACTTCCTGAAAGCCCATTGTGCGAGTTCATACTCATGTCGTGTCCAGGGCACTAGGACAAGCAAAGAAACAGAGAAATAAAACACTGACTTCTTCCCTAAACCCATCACATGCAGTATCTAATACTACTGTTGACTGTGTTATCAAGTTCTCAACACCTTTTCTGGAAGAAAAGGGCAGAAAACCAAACCCCTCATTTTTATTATTCAGTAAGGAAAAAAAATGGATTCAAATTTCCTCACCACTACCAGTGGAGATATAATGATCAAGTAAGGAGATTTGGAACAGAGAAAACAAAATAAATTCTACTACTATTATTCTAAGTTAGCTAACAAATGTTAAAACCAAATGCTGAACTAGGGGAATGAAAGCAAGGATTACTGGAATGATAATAACTAATAACTGGAATAATAATAATAACTCTATCTGCTGTCCAGAAATGGAGTCATACAGATATGTCACAGCATGAATAGCTTGTAGTTAAACTGATCTAGTTTGTGCATCAATTGAATTTGGGGATGTATGCCTTCTGATTATGTGGAACTTATTCTATGAATAGGTATTTTACATCTTTGTGCAGATCAAGAAGTTATGAAGTGTTTTGCAGCTTTCCAAAGCAAGTTTTCTATCTATTGCAAGAGCTATTATAGCAACTTTCCCTTTAGACTTGGCTATATCCGAATTATTTTTAGCTTCAAACTCACCTTCTTCCTCCTCTTCTTCCTCCTCTGTTGTTTCAGCTGCCAAGGATCGGGTCTCTACCTGCTTCTGTAAGGCCTGCAGCTTACTCTCATAGTCCTGTAGGGAGAGAGGAGATACCGTGTAGGAGGACAGACAAAAGCAAGGAGAATAGTTGAGAGAGACTAACACCTCAGATGGAGTGACAGACAGAGAACAAATACATAAAGATGTTTCCATTAATCCTCAGAGGTCACATACCAACACCTATAGTTTTAATATAATCTGTCCTTGAAAAGAGAGAAGACATAGGCCAATACAATTAAGACAGTAGTGTTTGGGTCTTTTTAAATCATCAGATATACATGCTCATAGTATCTGTAAGAAAGAAAGGTTTAGTGTGGGGGTTTTTTTTTTTGTTTGGTTGGTTTGGTTTGTTGGTTGGTTTTTTTTGCTAAAGACTAGAAAAAGGAGATTTTTGGGGGAACCTGCTTGCTGCTTTCAGGGAGGTAGGAAAGAGGCAGAAATAGAGATAAGTACAGAAATAAATTTTAAAGGGTAGGATTATTCACCTTAATTTTCTCAAACAGAAGGATTAACAGCATCACTGATTTGCCTTTTGATACAAAAAAAATTCATTTCATATTTTAGGAAAAAAAAAAAGACATTTTGTTTTCAATTATATTTTCCTTTTGGGATGTAAGTAATCACACTCTCACACGTGTATTTAATATATCAGAAGATAAAAAAATACCACCACCCTGGCAAGTGGGGAGAGAAGTCTGTGCAGAAGTTTCCCCACAAGGAGCACTTCAACAATACCTTCTGGCATAAGAGCATTTTCTTCCTGTTCAGCATAATCATGCCTTGAAATAGATGCTACTAAGACCAAATGACCCTTTCGTTATTTGCTGATAAAACAAATAAAAATTCAAGATATTTAGAACAGACACAGTCACTGGGCTCCTGGTCTCAGAGCCTACCTCACCACTGTATTCTATTTTTTGAAGATAATCTTTTGGCATATAAAAACTGCCTTCTCAAGATTTTTATGCAAAACTTGCAACCACGCCTCACTAAGAAGGTGACAGAGTTCCTAAGGAGAATTCTTGAAGCCACTCATCTTGTATTCCAACCTTCTCTTCCACAGTTCCAAATCCTAAAATTCTCCAATGCACTGTTCATAGTAATGCATTCTTAAGTCTAACAGCTACAGAAGGAAAGCTTTACACTTTCCTCCCATCCTATTTAAGTGTCCCACCTAAACAGCTACATTAGTTTGGTTTTGTACAGCAAGTACTTAACACTGCCACAATGCGATTGTGTCAAACTTAACACAAGTTCAGTCAGACAGACCTTTAGTTGGTATTTGGAAAGGAGATAAACCTGAAGTACGTTCCTTTAAGTTTCTAAGTAATATTTCCTGGCGGTAGCATTAAACAACTGTAGCTGTGCTCTTAGAAAGTACAGAATTTTCAATACCATTAATTCAATACCCATGACCTTTAGGTAGAGAAAACTGAACAAATGAAGATATATGGCCTTTGTATGTGGGCTGTGTTTTAATTTTGTCATTTCCTCTTGAAATTTTGTTTGCTAAAATACTCCTTCTTCATTGTCTGCTCCATTTGCTCTAAGATGGCTACATACTTACAGCATAAGTAAACCTTAGCCCAGCAGCAGCAGAACTACAAACAAAACAAACATAAATCCTTTCTTTTGATATTCCTTCTGAAATCCTTAATGATTCACCAAAAAACTATTCTAGACTCTATGAGGACATTCAGCTTATCCATAGTTCTGAAATACTCAGCATACTCTTAAAAATTCATTAACATAAAGGAATTCTTTCTGATCTTACTTCCTCCCATCCATGTAGATAACGCTATTACATTTGAAACAAAGATAAAACAGGTCAGATGTGAAGTGGCAGAAACATTCTTCTCTTACTTGCAAGGATGGGCAAAATAATTTACTTTCCTGTAGTCTGAAGTAGATAATCTGAGGGTGTCATTTTGAGCAGCTAGATTGTAGAAATGAAGAAATGAAAAGCTCTTCGAGTAGTGTTTTAAGTAGAATCTTTGATCAGATTCTTTTGGAGAAACTGAAAAGTTGCAGAGGGAATGGTCAAAAATCAGGAACATTCCACTGTGATAATTCTACTTCCAGCATGAAAAAACGCAGGCACATTAAATTCATTCGAAGACAAAGACCTGCTTCTTGTTCCTCTATTTTTAGACTTGTGAGCCAAGTATTATCTTCTGTACATTTAAATACCTAGATAAATAAATGCTTAATATAAGCAGGCACTTTTTTATCGATTCCACACTAACAAACATTACTTTTAAAACTAAGTAAATAATTAAAGTTTGTTTTCCCATAATGAAAAAAAAGAAATAGGTACCATTTCCCTAAGCAGAAAAACAGGACTAAGATTGCCTCCTGGCACTTGATACTGTGGTAGTATTTAAAAATAATTGGCACTGAGTAGCAGATGAAGGATGAATTTCAGGTTGGTTCACATAGAAGGTGCACTGACTGCACTGTGAAAGGGGTTGGTTTGCTCTGCTGAGAGATTGGTCAGCTCTCCAGGTAAACATTTCCAGATCTGATTAGTGATAATACACACATAATTGTTAGTACCAATGTAAAGGTGCCCCAACTGCTAGAAAGGAAAAAACTCTGCATCTAGAAGCTGCCCTGAAGGTGCATGCCCTGGACTCCCTGGAACCCAATGTATATTGTTGTACAACTTCAAACTGGTTGATATCTTAGCTCCGTGGATGTGGAGAAATGTGGGAATACAAAGTTTATTTTGACCATGGGCATAGAAATATCTAAAGCCACACAATCATAGATTTTCTGAAAACAGAAAAAAAAACAAACCAAAAATCGTACACTCAGACTAGGCCAAGCTTTTTAAGACCAGACTGGACCAGCTTTTTAAGCAGAAAACTGTACCATAACAACTCAGATTCTTTGGATCTACGTGATGTCTGCAAAGGTACTGTAGTGTGTGCGATTCCCTCCTGGATTTGGGGTATACAAAGAAGTCAGTTTCTTTTGTCTTCAGTGAGCAAATAAATAAAGAACAGTCAGCTCTGTATTTTCTTCCTGAAATCATATAAACAGCACACAAGATGGTACGATGGGACAGCACTGAAGAGGAGTATGCCTTTTATCCCCTTGCGCTATAAAAAGCTTTCTTTTTTATTTTAAAATAAGCTATGTGATAGACACAAATCTGCGTAGGCTGCTTTTCACATAGCAGCAGAAAAATCAGAGTGGAGAGACTTACAAGAATCAGACTAAGGAACAATTAAAGAAACTTTTTTAACTCTGCTAGAACAATACCAACCCCAAGACAAAAAATAAAATCAGGACAAGCCTACAACCAAGTTTCCATTTCACTGAGACAAGTCTGACACTTACAAGAGTATTTCATCGTTTATTGAAAGAGCACTTGTTACAATACAAACCAGTTCTGCTTTTCACCAGGCAGATGCTTGCTCTTAAGACAATCCAAAACTTGTTTTTTCTTAAACAATGGACAGATCTGAAAATCCCATTTAATTCAAAGGCAGCTCACTGCTTTCTTTACAGTACAAATAGGTACACAGCATAGATTTCTCATGTGGCAGCTCCTGAAGTGGTTCAATGGGAAGTATCAGAGTCAAATTTCAACATATAAAGGATAAAGAACAAATTTCAACATATAAAGGACAAACAGTGAGGGAGATATTGAAACTGTGCTGAATGTACTGATAAAAATAGCATCCTCTAATTTCACAGATCCCTAAATTCAGATCGCTTGAGAAAGGATGTTGAAGTCAATCAGAGGAACATTAGTGGCATGCATTTCCCTCTCCCCCCTCCCCCCAATCCACATGTCCCTAGTGAGTCTGAAAGGATATTTAAGAAATCATCACTAAGGCACAGGTGGATACAAGCCAGCTGTCAAAGCACACAGCACATCAGCACTTAGCAATGGCAATTAAGCTGACTAAACCAGCACTCCCATCACAGATACCACATTTCCATTAACCTGAAAGCCTTCTCACAGTCTTCTATGGAAGCAGCTGTATTACTGTTCATTAGCTCCATTAATACAGAATTTGGAGGAAGAGGTGTGCGTATTTCTGAATAGTGCAAGGAGATCCACAAGTTCTCACATTGCTTCCCTTATCAGATGAGGCACTGCACTGTAATTAATATTAAATTCTTAAAGTGGACAATTATTTCTATAGGACTTTTTTTTCCAAGCTTCATTTCTGTAATATCCTCCTAAAAGCCAGGAAAGAAGCTGCTTCCTCTGAGCAGACTGGGCTCCATTTTGACGTTGACTATCCTTTTTTGTGAAATCATACAACAGAATAAGCAGGGTTGGTTTTCTAGTGCTGCATTAAAACAGTGGGGAAGTAAGACAGCCTGATGGTAACCTATTGTTTATCATCATCACCGCCACCCAGGCATTTGCAGGTACTTCTCGGATTTTTAAGCTGAAATAAGTTGGCAAAAACCCTTTTAGCGTTAAAATATCAAGTAGCAGAGTTTTTAATCTCATGTCAGTACATGTAGTAGCATGGACTTCAAAATTACTCCATGTTCAATCACATGGTGATTTCACATAGGCAGCCACAATCCTCAACAAAACTGGGACACAAGATAAAATCAGTTTGGTCTTCTCTCACAACCTATCCCATGCAGGCTAACTTCGTTTGGCTCATGTACTCCTACAGAATTGAGAGGATTTTCCCAACCATGCATTTTTAAGAGAGTCCAAGCCTTTTTGAGGATATGACAGAACTCATTGCTCTTGACATGCACAAAAACAAAGTGCAATGCATTACTAAAACAAGATTCTAAAAATAAAGGCAACAGCAAAATAATATGTGCAGCCCAAAACTCATTTTGCAATTCTGACTCAAGCTCGAAGAAAGTATTGCTCATCTAGAAGGCTTCTTTTCTTTAAGAATCAAGACAGTTTTGGACATGATGCTTTATTTCCTTTGTTCAAGTAGGCCAAAGCATGAGACACATGTAAGTTACAAAGCCATATCTGGACACAAAATTAAACCTGCCGTAAAAAAAAAAAATGTCCCACATGATGGGACCAGCTG